GCAATGCACAGAGAGTTCCATAATTGGCAGCTTGGAAGATCTGATAATATAAATTAATACAACTATACAAAACATAATTCTGAAAGATGAGCTTCATGAGATCATAAATTCCTTCAAAGGTGAGCTTAAAACAATGTAAGTTCCTCCATGACCAGTTGTACTCAAAATAAATATTCATACTATTTATATATTGAATAAAAATCTAATTAACCACCATGACTGAACCTAATTACACTATGTTGGATACTCTATTTTTGTTTTGATATGAAGTTAAAAAATATTAGAACGAACTGGTTTAGTGTTTGTCAGGATGGTGGTACTCAGAGGATCTGATATTTTCCAAGATTATATTTTTTATAAAGTTATTTTATGTTAAAGTTTTTCAGTTATTTTTTTTTACAAGTTCTGCAAATTGATATCCTGTTTATACAAATTTCGATTTTTCCCCCCCCCCCCTTTTATCTGTCCACACTAGTTTTACAAAAAATGCTGAAATTCCCTCATCCTGCCACTAGGGGGAGACAACAGCCTACATTAAAGACGTTTTAAAAATTCGGAGAAAGATTGTTTCGTTTGACAAAAAATTCTCCCAAAATTTGTTTTACTTTATATTTACAGTTTCAGTTCAGAACATGATCAAGATAAAGTAAAGCAAATGTAGAAAGTAAAGTTTTTTTGTGTTTTCGCATCTCTGGAGCTCAGAGTGAGAAATCTCTCTGTTCCCTCCTCAGACGGCGGTTTGGGTCAACTTCTTCCTCTGGCTCGTCATCGCCGTTCTGGTGGTCGTTCAGCAGCGGCGGAGCTCCGGGTCGATTTCGACGCCGGCCGGCGCGCTCTTCGGCGACTCTTCCACCACTGCGTCTGAGACCGAGCCGTTTTTCAACCCTCCCTCCAGGCCGCATTGAAGTTACAACAACAAATTAAAACGYGTGTGAACGGCGGAACGTACGGTCGGTGATATGAAGCTGCGTAATCCAAAGATTTAAATATTATTTTGRGTTAAACGTCAGAATTTGTTCATTCGGAAAGTTTTTCCCGCTGCAGCTGACCACAGGGGAAAATGCTTATTTAATTGTTATTTTAAYATTCTGCACGTTTCTTTGATGTTAGTGGCCATTCTACTTACAGCCTTTGTTTCATTTAKTAATAGTTACACTTATTATTGTAARAAAAAAAATTTTTTYCCAYSTTYRGAAAACCTGGAGGCCTTTTTATCCGTGTTGCTGAAACTACTTTTGTGGTAAATCACACCTGCTGAGAAATCTTAAACTCAGATGTGCATCTTTTTACCATCAGCTGGTTTTGTGTTTTAACTTAAATAAAAAAAAGCACAAAACAAGTCGAAATGTAACACAGATGTTAACTGGTGCTTTTTTTACAATCTCAAAGTAAAAGTGGAAACAAAATGACTAAAATCTGTTTTTTTATATGCAAGTTACAAGAAACCCAGAAAGAACAATGTCTCCCTCTTGTGGCCAAATCTATTTAAAACTAATTTGTAACCAGATTTGCCTGTGTTTGTGTCTGTTAGCAAAATATCTGAGCGGAGAGTCGTTCCTAACTCAAAGATATTTTGAATTAAAACCTTGCATTCCTTCTGTATTTAAAGAATTGTGTTTGTGTGGACTGATGCTTTCTGCGTGTTTATACTGTCGTGTTAAAAAATGTTTAATAAAGTTTTAGCTCACTGGTTTCAGTTTTAGGAGTGATGTTTTCAGTTTCAAAGCAAAATCCAGGCTGTTTTTATCCTCTTGAAGTCAGCCCTCTTATGAAATGAGAGCACATTGACAGAATGTAGAAATGACTCAGCCTGCAGAGGTGTCAACTATTCACATTCATTTCCTAAGCAGAAGTATAAATACTAGGGTTTAAAATA